ATAAAATCATCAAATAAATTAATACTTATTTCATATAAATTAAAAAGTATTAATTAGTAATTACGAATCATACAATGTCAGTTAGGAAAATCCTTTTATCCCTTCTATAAAAACCATATATCTGCTTATCTTAGTACGATCGGTCCCTGTATAAGAGGGTGTCTGTCTGTTTTAACGATGTTCACTCATTAAACTCCTGTCATTAGCATTTCACCCACTCTTCACGCCCCCCCCCCCCCCCACTATTTTTTACACATATATAGCACATTACGTTAGGCCTGGCCTGTCGACGTCACAGTTGACCTGGTTGATTGAACTTATCGCTGGTGAGTAATGCCATAGCTATGTGGCTGTATGTTCTGTGTGGCTGTATGCTAGTGGTATGTGGCTGTATGCTAGCGGTATGTGGCTGTATGCTAGCGGTATGTGGCTGTATGCTAGCGGTATGTGGCTGTATGCTAGCGGTATGTGGCTGTATGCTAGTGGTATGTGGCTGTATGTATGTTCTATGTGGCTGTATGCTAGCGGTATGTGGCTGTATGCTAGCGGTATGTGGCTGTATGTTCTGTGTGGCTGTATGCTAGCGGTATGTGGCTGTATGCTAGCGGTATGTGGCTGTATGTATGTTCTATGTGGCTGTATGCTAGCGGTATGTGGCTGTATGCCATCGCTATGTGGCTGTATGCTAGCGGTATGTGGCTGTATGTATGTTCTATGTGGCTGTATGCCATCGCTATGTGGCTGTATGTTCTGTGTGGCTGTATGCTAGTGGTATGTGGCTGTATGCTAGCGGTATGTGGCTGTATGCTAGCGGTATGTGGCTGTATGCTAGCGGTATGTGGCTGTATGCTAGCGGTATGTGGCTGTATGCTAGTGGTATGTGGCTGTATGTATGTTCTATGTGGCTGTATGCTAGCGGTATGTGGCTGTATGCTAGCGGTATGTGGCTGTATGTTCTGTGTGGCTGTATGCTAGCGGTATGTGGCTGTATGCTAGCGGTATGTGGCTGTATGTATGTTCTATGTGGCTGTATGCTAGCGGTATGTGGCTGTATGCCATCGCTATGTGGCTGTATGCTAGCGGTATGTGGCTGTATGTATGTTCTATGTGGCTGTATGCCATCGCTATGTGGCTGTATGTTCTGTGTGGCTGTATGCTAGTGGTATGTGGCTGTATGCTAGCGGTATGTGGCTGTATGCTAGCGGTATGTGGCTGTATGCTAGCGGTATGTGGCTGTATGCTAGCGGTATGTGGCTGTATGCTAGTGGTATGTGGCTGTATGTATGTTCTATGTGGCTGTATGCTAGCGGTATGTGGCTGTATGCTAGCGGTATGTGGCTGTATGTTCTGTGTGGCTGTATGCTAGCGGTATGTGGCTGTATGCTAGCGGTATGTGGCTGTATGTATGTTCTATGTGGCTGTATGCTAGCGGTATGTGGCTGTATGCCATCGCTATGTGGCTGTATGCTAGCGGTATGTGGCTGTATGTATGTTCTATGTGGCTGTATGCCATCGCTATGTGGCTGTATGCTAGCGGTATGTGGCTGTATGCCATCGCTATGTGGCTGTATGCTAGCGGTATGTGGCTGTATGCCATCGCTATGTGGCTGTATGCTAGCGGTATGTGGCTGTATGCTAGCGGTATGTGGCTGTATGCTAGCGGTATGTGGCTGTATGCTAGAGGTATGTGGCTGTATGTATGTTCTATGTGGCTGTATGCTAGCGGTATGTGGCTGTATGCTAGCGGTATGTGGCTGTATGCTAGTGGTATGTGGCTGTATGTATGTTCTATGTGGCTGTATGCTAGCGGTATGTGGCTGTATGCTAGCGGTATGTGGCTGTATGCTAGCGGTATGTGGCTGTATGCTAGCGGTATGTGGCTGTATGCTAGTGGTATGTGGCTGTATGTATGTTCTATGTGGCTGTATGCTAGCGGTATGTGGCTGTATGCCATCGCTATGTGGCTGTATGCTAGGGGTATGTGGCTGTATGCCATCGCTATTTGGCTGTATGCTAGCGGTATGTGGCTGTATGCTAGCGGTATGTGGCTGTATGCTAGCGGTATGCTAGCGGTATGTGGCTGTATGCTAGCGGTATGTGGCTGTATGCTAGCGGTATGTGGCTGTATGCTAGCGGTATGTGGCTGTATGCTAGCTGTATGTGGCTGTACGCTAGCGGTATGTGGCTGTATGCTAGTGGTATGTGGCTGTATGCCATCGCTATGTGGCTGTATGCTAGCGGTATGTTCTGTGTGGCTGTATGTATGTTCTATGTGGCTGTATGTATGTTCTATGTGGCTGTATGTATGTTCTATGTGGCTGTATGTATGTTCTATGTGGCTGTATGCTATCTGTATGCGACTGTGCAGCTGTATGCTGCATGTTTGTGTTGTCCAGCTGTGTTATCGGAATACGCTGTGCCCTAGAATCAGAAAGTTATACCTATCATATTAAATAACATTTGTAATAATAGGACTGACGCAGGTCTTAAATAGCCACAAGCGGCATACTTGCGTGTTGCTCCATGAATGATATGTTGTGATTCCTATTGTTATGCGCTCTACTTGGTCGGCTTTTCTTTTATTTCTGGATTTGCTTTCACAACCTTTGTCGATCCAAGAATGATCTACAACACTTTGTTTGATTTTGGGATTTTATCGCCTTGATGTATTGCCTCATCTGTCCGGGGTCCGAACTCAGGACCTTTGGAGTTATCACTCGTGCACTCTCCGACCCGACCACACCGTTCCTGTCAGTTATGCCTCGATTGGAGCACTCTTTTTAGTTTTACACAAATGTAATGGTTGCCGTAGTTTATTGTTTAGATGTCAATTTATCGTATGCCAGAACCGGCACACTTCTTTTAATATTGTTCAAACTGGTGTAAAAAGACATGTGATTTCCTCACACTTGTATCAGTTGTGTTCGGTCCAATCCATCACGTTTACCACACACGAGTAATGTCCCCTGCGCCGCCACCCAATCTTCAAATTTCCCATCATCTATCACAGGGTGTCATCAGTTCTCTCCCCTACCAAAACAACATTGGCCTTGACGCCATCTTGGTATCCCCCCCCCCCCCCCTCCCACCTCAACCACCACGAACGCTACAGGAAGACAGGTTTTTTTAAAAAAAAAAACCTGAGGTAATACCTGGCTAAACAAACATTTCTCCCTGGGATTTGCGCTTTTATTTTAAGATTAGGGAAGTATTTTTACACTTAGCCCAGGCAGGATATGGCTTGCGAAACATTGAATTAAATATTGGGGAAGTGGTTTCAACTTTGTTGACCTACGGTATTTGTGGCTTTGTGGAGTTGTAATGAAACAAGCAACCAAGCACTACACATGTAGTCGATTTAATTAAAAAATTTATTAACAGCGGTATCTCGAGATTCATTCGCTCCGTAACATTGCTCCTACATCAATTGTTCGTATCTGAAAGCAATTTTCTCCATTGACATTGTATGAAATGCTATTAATCCGTATCAACCTTCTAAATGTTTCGTAATTTTAATCAGAAAAATGTTATTATAAATAACCAACGTTGTATAAGAATATAATACAGGAGAATGTAAAGAAATAATTGGCTTTATAATGTTTATATTCTTTGGGAATCAACCGACTTCCTCGTTACCCTCTTAATACTACATTTTATTAAATACTGCTTAAAATCTATTTATTACTTCCCCTTAATTGTCCTGCCTGCTTTTCTACCTACCGGTCTTTGCCTTTCTCGCCCCACCTATCGTCTCTACAAAATCTCGTATGTCGGGGCACTCGTATGTCGAGGTACTACATAATATATGTATACATCACATAGCTTGTTGGTGTCTGCAGGAGGAGGGATGGGGAGGTTTCTGGCATTTGACCCACCTCTGACATTTGACCCACCTCACAACACATGCAAGAAACAAGTCAATAAACCAGGTGGTAATACAGGTAATGTGAGCCCCGACAGTCAATCAAGTTGATCGATTGAATTCCCCAGACTTTTGATCAGCATCAAGAAATCGATCGCTTCTGTAAATATCCCATTCATCTGTGCCATTCATGTTTTTAATGTTGGCTTCTCGTTTTAGTCCTACATTTTTTTCTAAAATCTTAATTAACTTTGTTATAATCTTTACTTTTTTTGTCGTATATGTTAAACTCATAATAATGGTGTGATTGTTTCCTTACATAACGAAAATATATGTATTGGCATTCACTTTTGAAACATGTGTATTGATATAAACATATCATATAACCATATAGTGGATAATTCCAACATGTTTAGTTCTACTTGAGCTGACATACTCACCGGGTGGGGTGACAGCCGATGGGTTATTCATAGCCACATCCCCATCCACATCGAGGCTAATACAGCAGTTGGCGGGATATTTGCTGATGAATGTAATTAGAGCCTTACCCCCCCCCCCCCCCCTTCCTGGCGACGTGTAGTGATGGGAGGGTGTCGTGTTTTCAAATTGCAGGAATTCGGAGAAGGAAATGGCCAGCGGTCAAAGCCCTGTTGGATAGAGCTGGGAATAAAGGGGGGGGGTGGTCGCAGGGGACTGGCATTGTTTAAAAAAAGAAATCGGAGACATCTGATTGATGGCATGCGACAAAGAGGAGGTAATTAGCATGGACCGGACTAAAAATAGCCATCACTGCCCGTGACGTCAGCGGCTGCCATCAGCATGCCGGGATACAGTAGGAGTGGGGTGGAGGGGGCACGGATCTGACACTTGTTATTTAACTGATTAAAAGCCGAACCCAGCATCAGGGCACAGTGACATTATCTGACGCTGTACCGACATGGGCGCTGGGTGTGTTGGCAGTTCTCTCAACACACACACACAGTTGAAGTAGTTTCAATGTCTAGATCTAGTCATTGCCCAACATTTCCAACATGCTCAGCGGTCGATAAAATTTGTCCTTACAGGATAGTTAATTCGTTGATGTTGCAGTTATCATAGAAGATTTTGAGTAACAGGAATTTTTTTTTTTTATCTTCAGCTTTGTACATAGTAGCTGGACGACCTTGACCTAGAATGGACACAGAAGGACCCGTGTCAGTGCTGGACAGGCGCACCAAGGCCTCCAGTCGGGACAAGGTCATCGCAGACCGCATCACGCGCCAGCGGAGCCCCGGCCCCAGCTTCCGGCACCAGCGCGGCCGGCGGGTCCCGTCCCTCGACGGCAGCTTCAGCGAGGACGAGCAGCATGACGTCATCTACCGGATCTCCCAGCCGTACCGCACCAGCTTCTCGGCCAAGCACTCGGTCACGTGGGGCAAGGCTGACCGCAGCCGCTCCCTCAGCCCCACCTCCAGCCTCAGGAGCGACGCCAGCTACGCCAGCGCGCCCCCCATCTACTACTCCGGGGGAGACAAGAAGCGCCCCAGGGGTCGCTCCAAGAGCCCCAAGCGGGTGACGTACAACAACCGCGTGACGGTCCGGCACTCCGACACCGAGGACAGCATGTTCACGGAGCTCTCCAGTCACGAGGACACGCCCCTGCGCCCCATCGTCTCCCCCTTCAGCCGCGCCCTCATCTCCCCCAGGTACAACGAATTCAGCCAACTCTCCCCCGTCTCCCTCAACCAGTCCCGGGCCTCCCCGCCCGACCAGAGACCCAAGGTCCGAGACGTGACCAACGTCAGGTACCGGCCCGGGGAGACGGGCGAGCTGAGCACCGACTCGGGGCTGGACTACTCCACGGAGCTCAAAGACTTGTCCGACCAGATCACCAGGATGCAGTGGAGCCCCAGGCAGAACCGTGCCACCCACACCCGGCCCCCACAGATACCCTACATCATCCACCAGCCCAACCTGTCGACACGTCCACCCCACGGGCCGCCCAAGTCAGGTAAAATCTCACCCCCGGGGATCCTCAAAGATTCCCAGAATTCCAGGTCGAGTTTGAGGGAAAACCCGTTTCCTGTTATGGCCAATGGAAGCATCAATGGAGGTAATCAGCAAATGTTTTGTTGTGTTCTTACATCCATTTGGTCTTTCTATTAGAACAGCTTGCCTGTTGTAGAAAAAAAAAGGAAGTTTTTATTTCAAAGTTATTTTTACTTTTCATGAACAACAGGTGAAAGCGTAATATATTTGAAATGTAACATTTACCAGGTATAGGCCTACATGTTACAGGTGTATATGTTTTTATTTTACTTATGCATATTTTATAAATATCTATTTTCACACATTTGTAATTTAAAGGTGTATTTTGTACAGGTGTAAATAGGTCAGGTGTATGTTTCACTGGCTTATATTTTACACATGTTTATGCTACGAGTGATTTGTTCTGCAGGTGTCTATTCTACAGGTGTCTATTCTACAGGTGTATATATTACAGGTGTCTATTCTACAGGTGTGTATCCCGTCAACCAGCCGCATGGAACAAGTCCAACATCAGCATCCAATGGTAGTTTGTCTAGAATCAACAAGGGCAAGGAGAACGACCCTCGTGTCTCCCCAGGCAAGCCTTCATGTCCCATCCAATCACATAGACACCCAGCAGATTGTAATCAATGGGAGCCTAGTTTAAACCACAGCCACACATTGCATCCATTAGTTCTGGCACATTTCTTTCTGGATCTCATTTCTCAACCTCATGACATTTCCTTCTGGGTCTCATTTCTCAACTTCATGACATTTCCTTCTGGGTCTCATTTCTCAACCTCATGACATTTCCTTCTGGATCTCATTTCTCAACCTCATGACATTTCCTTCTGGGTCTCATTTCTCAACTTCATGACATTTCCTTCTGGGTCTCATTTCTCAACCTCATGACATTTCCTTCTGGATCTCATTTCTCAACCTCATGACATTTCCTTCTGGATCTCATTTCTCAACCTCATGACATTTCCTTCTGGGTCTCATTTCTCAACTTCATGACATTTCCTTCTGGGTCTCATTTCTCAACCTCATGACATTTCCTTCTGGATCTCATTTCTCAACCTCATGACATTTCCTTCTGGATCTCATTTCTCAACCTCATGACATTTCCTTCTGGATCTCATTTCTCAACCTCATGACATTTCCTATCTATTTTTATTGCGTTTGGACACACATTTATAAAACTAATAACAAAAAAACCATTAGCCAGTTGTTTTCTTGTACATTCATCTTCTAGCTTATATTCTTAAAAAAAAAACAACTTTTTATATTAGAGGGGTGCAACAAAAAGTAATATTGAAGGGAAACAAATCTGCTGAATGCATATAGAGTTACCCTGAACATAGAGGCATAGCAACACCTCCCGGCACCAGGTGATAGACCTTCAATCCTTCAATTTGGTGCCCCCCACCCCTCCCACCCCTATATTTGTTACATTAATAATTCAAAACTGCAGCTAGAATGAGCTTTTAGTTTTTTTTCAACCTATTTTGGCACCCCTACGGTCGGCGCCTGGAAACATATGTACCCCCCCCCCCCTTCGCTACGTCTCTGTCCGAACACTCAAGTAACAACTACCATTGAGTAAAAATCTGACTTTGATATTTTGATTTTCCAGAGAAGTCAGCCGTGACAGATTTTATCGCCAGGGACTACGAACACGAGCGGCCATTCAACTACTCGGCTGCCCTAAAGGGTGACTACGGGGAGGACATCAGCAAACTGGCCCAGGAGGTTTTACTGGACGTCCAGCAAACTGACCTGGCCAATGAGAAGGGCTCTACAGAAAATGGAGGATTGAATCTCTTAAGTAAGTGGCTGGATATCCCAGCTCCTGTGGTCATTCAGCCATGCTTTGAGAACCCTTGCATCTCTGGGTCATTATAAGTTGCTTAGTCTGTCTTGCAGCACTCTCTCTCCTACATATATATATATATATATATATATATAATTCTCTATGTGGGACACCACCACTACTTACACATGCCCACTGGCCCCCCTCCCTCGCTCTCCAGCATGCGCAATAGACCATATCGCTACCACCCCCACCCCCACCAGTCTGGTGAGCTGTGGTTCACGCTGAATATTAGCAATGGTAGAGCTGGTTGAATTAGTGATGGCTATTAGGGGCAATTTAGTTATTAAACAACTTTAAACCAAGGGGAGGTAACAAGTTCTGCTTGATATTTTCATTGTCTGCAAACTGTCGTCACAGACGGCTGCTTTCACAGGGGCGGGGAGAAGGGGGTGGTGAGGATAATCGTCCTTCATGAGCTTCTGATAGTGTTTTAAAGCAAAATATTTTCAGTCATAGCATTGGCTGTGTTGAATTCACAAATTATGAATTACTTAAAAATAGGAAATAAAACAACTAAATAGCGGCGTATATTATGCTGCTGGATGCCGCTGGGTTCGTAAAATAATAACACTCCCAAGCTATGCTCATCATCCAGCTCACACAGCCAGAGGAAGTAGAGTTCAGCATTTCTTGGGTCTGTAGTGCCAGTTGACAGATCTATGGATACTCTTTGGTTGTTACTTCCTCCTTAAACTCTGCCAAGTCGTCATAATGTTTGTGTTAAAAACTTAGATGTTTTATGTAGCCACAGGTGCTGATAGATTTGTTCAACATTTGATTAGGCAGTTAGATCAGTCCTAGTCTAATTACACCAATTATTTCACTTATTTCCTGTTTCACATTTGAAAACTTTTCAGACACAAGTGATCCACAGTTGGCCAACAACGACCCAATCATCGTCAACAACATTGGTCAGCATGATGTGCCGAGCTCATCACCAGCAGACACATCACAGGGTGAAACTAGCCCAGGTAACATCATGATGTTCTTCATGTACACCACTCTGCTCCCTCTACCTGTACACGCTGGAACTGTACCTTCAGTACCTGCTCTCTTTCAATCTCAGACTACTGCTGTAAATCTCAGACTATGGTTGTAAATCTCAGACTATTGCTGTAAATCTTAGACTATTGCTGTAAATCTTAGACTGTTGCTGTAAATCTTAAACTACTGCTGTAAATCTCAGACTATTGCTGTAAATCTCAGACTATTGCTGTAAATTAAATCTAAAATTTGTTATCTATGATTTTTGTTGTAAAGCATTAACTTGGAAATTAATGACTTTTTGTTCCAACCTATATATCTTTTGTTGTAAATCTACAAGCACACAACAATCTTAAAATCAATTTTTTTTTTAAATCTGTAGAAACCCATTAACAGAAATGTTTAAAAAAATATTTAACATGTAAGGTCTACTATAAAAAAAAAAACAAAAAGCAATAACCTTGTCCTAAATGTTCAAAATGTAGATATCAAGTTTTATGTTCCATTTTAGAAGTAAATTAAAAAAAACAAAAACAAGAATCTTTACAAAAAGTGACCCAAACATTGAATTATTACCACTTGTTTCTCTTGCTAGGAGTTAAGAAGCTTAAAAGAGGTATGTACAACAACAACTAAGTCTCCGCTATTGCATCTTATTATCATAGTTCTCCAGTAGAAAATCTTTTATTCAAAAGGTAATGTTTATAAAACTGCTTTCAACATAGCAGTTATCACAGAAAGAATTTCTTTTGTTTAAGAAAGTTAATTAAAAAATAAAGATGTAAAAAAAATCAATAGGCTTGTTTGTTTTTGTTCTGTCAAATGTTAATTAAAAAACATACAAATGATTATCCTCTGATATACATTTAAGAAAATATGTTTCTTCTAACTTTAATTAGTTTATTAAAAGATAGAACAATCTCACATAACTACTTAAATTATCTAAAATTAAAATCTGTCATCAGTTCAGTTTTTTTCTCAAATCCTAATTAAATTAGAAAAAAAAATATTTAAAAGCTATTGGAATATAAAAAAATAATATCCTTTGAATTCCTAAAGCTTTAAAAAATCTTGTTTGTAACTAAATAGATGAAGATTTCCTTATCATAATGAGCAGATAACTCTTGCTTCTGGCTTCTCTCTCTTCTCAATTATACATTTTGACATTCTGCTTGCTAACATTTTTCACCATGTATATTTTTTCACTTTTGTACAAGAAGAGATATGTTAAAACATTTGGTGTATATTTCTATCAACAACTCTGTACTAACTGACAGGTGGAGATGGTGCACTCTATCAGTTTTTATCACTTCTTAAAATATTGAAAACTATATTTTTTATGTTTTGCAAAAGAAAATTTCAAAATATTTATATTTTTTGCAAAACACAAAAAGAATTTAATTTTTATTTCTTTTTTTTTTTTTTACACAACTAACAACTAAGGTTTTTAAATACTACTAAGCTAAGTAGTGTTTTTAGTTAAATATAAGCTAACCATTAAGCTTATTTAACTTTTGGTATATTTGTATATATTGTATATTTACTGATTTAAAAATGTAAACAATGTTGAAATGTTATCACATTTGGAATTGTTCACACAAAGTTGCCTTGTGACACATGAGACTCAAGTGTGAATGTAAACATTGATATTTACCATTACTTATTATTATTTATCATGCTAGCATGTTTTGATGGTACCGTTTAAACATGAACCTCCCCCAAATCTGTTTCAGGGCGTGGCAGTCCAGTAGAGAGTGGACGCTTGACCCCATCCAAACGCTCCTACAGTCTGAGCATCACCAACTTCCTGAAGCGCGTCTCACCCAACTTTGGCCGCAAGCGCTCCAAAGAGAGGGCCACCAAGACCAGGTCGGCTGAAGGCTCGGCCCAGAGCCTGAACAACACAACGTCAGACACGGACAGGGACAGCCCCACCAACACACTATCCGACAAACCTAAAAAATCTGGCAAGTTCTCACGGAGTCAAGTCAGGCAGTCGTTCATGAAGCTTGTCGGCAGATCAGGCTCCAAGTGAGGGATAGGTTTATAATCTAGAGATTTTCTTTCCTTAGGTTTACTACAGGAATGGTTTATAATCTAGAGATTTTCTTTGTTTAGGTTTACTACAGGAATGGTTTATAATCTAGAGATTTTCTTTGCTTAGGTTTACTACAGGGATTGGTTTATAATCTAGGGATTTTTTTCTGTATATTTACTACAGGAATGGTTTATAATCTAGAGATTTTCTTGTTAGGTTTAGAATCAGAAAAATGGTTCATGGTCTAAAATTTTTATCTTCTTGTGTTTAATTTCAGGGAAAGATTTCTAATCTAGAGTTCTTGTAAATTTATTTTTGTTGTTATAAAATGAGAAACCTACAGGTCTAAAGAATCAAATAAAAAAATAAATGACCACTGTACCTTTTTGTATGTAATCAAAATTTGGTTGACCCTTCTTGTTTACCTAACAGATACAGTAAGGGAAGTAACTCTACAATTTATTTCTAATTTCTAAAACACCCAAACTTTCTGTTACAAATTCTTTAATTTTCAAAATCGATAGTTTTATTTAAGTTTACCTTTGAAAGTTTAATTTGAATTGAATCATGGTGTTGCCTTAAGAAGTTTTTTAAGAAAAAGTTTTAATTATTTTGATTGAGAACTTGCATGTTAAGTTGTAAACTAGTGTAATAATATATACATATTTATATATCCAACTTTACACCTATCATCAAAGTAAGCCTATACACTGATATTTTCAAAATATAATATTAATATAATATTATATGTCAATGTATCTGTAATATTAATAAGTAGTTTAGATAAACTACATTTCTTCAGTATGTATGAATTAGCAATGTAGCACTGATGTAATGCAGATATAGCATTTTATGTAATGCTGATGTAGCACTTTATGTATTGCTGATATAGCATTTTTTGTATTGCTGATATAGCACTTTATGTAATGCTGATTTAGCAATTTACGTTATGTAGTATCCATATAATACTGAAGATAAGCTCTGTAAAATCAATACAATGTACACATCTTTCACCAGATTTAAAAAGAAAAAAAACCAGCCTGAGGGTGAACCGATCCCCACCCCCAGTCACTACACCATTGAGCTCCAGGACCCCGAGCGGACCACATCATCGGATGAAGTGGATGAGATCACCTCCAACGGATTTGTTCTAAACGCTTCTGAAAACGGCAACGGCAAATGCCACTTTGACCCCTCGACCCACCGCATGATGAAATCCATTGAACAAAACTCAACTGCTGACCAGGACATCTACCGGCGCTTCAAGGACCGTCACACATCCAAAGACAGCCCCACGTCAGGGGGAGACGACCACACACCCCTGGCCAAACCAGAGCCACTAAGACCAGACACGACAAACTCATCCCACGAAACATCACTTAACGAGTCCTTAGACGGTCCAATGGAATTCTTCACAGAGTCAGACATCAGCGCCATACTCCGACCTGATTTAGACTCTTCCTACCTGAGATCTGTTTACTTTAACACGCCTGAAAAAGTGGCCACGCCCCCACGGGCTGAGCCCCCTAGCACTCTGGACGTTATACCTGTGCGGAGTAAGAAGCTGCTGCAGACATCAATGATGAGCAGTATCTCAGGGGATGAGAGCATAGGGGACTGTTCTCTGGACGCCAACCTCACAGGTCAGTTAATCCATTTCTCTAAATACTTAGGGGTCATTTTATTTTTGGAAGCAACACATTTAAAAAAATTTCCACTCCCATAGACGCATCATTTTTGACATATCATAAGCAAGATTAATTAAGATTTGTTCTATTAACTAAAATTATCATCTTGTTACTAAATCCCCCCCCCCCCCCCCCCCCCCCCCCCCCACTCTCAGCTAATATGTGGCTGTCATAAATGGACGATCTCTTACAGTTTTAGTAGAAAGAAAACAAAAGACCCTTCCTGTTTCAGGCATAAGCTGGTTTGAATCAAAACGTAAAATTTTTTAAAAGGGGAGACAACTATGCATATTATTGCAAATGTTTTGATTTCATAGTTGTCTTTCTTTATGCGCTACTGTAGTCTACAGTAATTTTCTTCTTTTCGGGTATTCACAAAACCGAGTGTTTCTATATTTAGACATAAACCAACACCAGAGCATCATTATTGTCGATCTTATTCTGTATCTATAACACTACATATCTGTTATGCTGTCACTACCTGCCTTCTCTACACGATCTACAACTCTGTACACTGAGACCATGATTCACAATAGATTACCGCCCTTTTTATACAATTAATGATCTTATAATGTCAAACTTGATGGTATTAGTTAGATGGTTTGATTAAAGTTGACCGTATCTTTACTTTAATAGATACGATGTTTAGTTAAGGATGAACATAAAGACACGTTAGATACTGTTATGAAGTAGTCAAATAGATTAATACAATTAAGGGGATTTAAACAATATGAGTAGGATATGAGTAGTGTCCCTTTTAAAATCTGTTTAACTATATTCTGTTTCGGTTATATTTCGCTTAAAACGTCCATAATTGTACTCTTCTGTAGCTATTGGGAGGGAAGTGACATGTATTCAAGTTAGGCTTTGGGAGTATAAAAAGACAGGGAAAGGTTAGACGAGTTAGTCATTCTGTAGTTGTCGTTTGGTTTAGTTATCGAAAGGTCGTAGCGCATGTTAATGTTGTTATCGTCAAGCTAATATGCCAAGTGTTATTAATAACCAAGAATCGATATAATGACTATGTGGTGTTCAATTGGTTCTATATGTATTATATGTATCGTCGCCCCTGTACGACGTACTCACATCACAATACATACATTACAATGTAGAGAAACTCCATAATGTTCATTGTAGTGGTAAGATGAACGTACAGATAGATAAGAGAACGAAGTGGTTAAAGATCAAACTCTGTCACACCAAATGCAGCTAAGTATTGCTCCGTCAAGACCCCTGTTTAACCCCCGTTTACCCCCCCCCCCCTCGTCACCCCTCCCCATGACGTGTTTTCTAATTGGATCAAGTGCGTCATGCCGAGCCAGGCGAATGGTGTGAGAAGGTTTCTTTGTGTCGTCTGCTGTTGACATGCCCCGCCTGCTCCCGTTTGAGACGAATGTGCACACATTTCCTGCTCGGTCTAGCAAACACTTCCCATTCTCCTGATCCGCCCCTGGAATCTGTTCATTGGTGTCGCCTTGTTTTTGTGCTGACATTTGCTTGTTCTGAACATTTTGAATGGGAGTGATGGCGAGTAGTGGAGGCTCGGTGATTACAGTATACAGTTTATTTTTTTAAATGGTTGAATCATATTTTGACCGTAATTTGTGCATGAGCTCTGTTATCTGGACTGAGGGGGGTTTGTGTGACGCTCAACAAAATATGCCGTAAGCGCCAACCACTGAACAGAATTTAGCACTCAACAAAATATGACACATCTCGCAGATATCAAGCAAAATACCTAACAGTGAAATAATACGAGACATATAATAGTGACAGCAACAAAGAACAAAACCTAACCTTTACAAAACAGTAACAGCAACAAAAAATAATTAGACTTAACCATGACAAATATTGAGACGATTTGACCTGTACCTATGTGGCACGGAGCAAAAATGGATCAATCACTTGCAGCGTTTACTTGAAGAAAAGAAAGAAAAGTATCAGTTACTTCAACATTGTAATGAACTATCAAGCCAACGAGTTGGGCGAGTAAGTATTAAATCAACGTGAAGCTGATCTTTGGTAAACCTTTGATCCATGCAGTTAGCCAGCCTACTTAAAACGTTTTATGGTAATCATTTCATTCCCCTTAGGGCTGGGTGACGTCATGGGGATTTCCTACATGTCTGAAGAGTTCAGATGCTTACACAGCGCGTGTATTTATAGACGTTTGAAGGTGCATTTGAAACACATATTGGAAGCAAGGTAGGGCGGGGATTAGTTTAGAAACAATTATCTCGAGTAATGAGTCAATCTAAAAAAAAGTCTAATATTTGTACGGCACATAAAAACAAACTCAACCAAAATATTTTACCTCCCCATATCTTATAACCCCCCCCCCCCACCATTTCCATTGTGACGTCATTGATTGCCCATTTTTTTCCCCTCTCGCTCTTGAGTCAGTCCCGATGTTTTTTTTTACGCACGTTGGTGCGCACGATTTTAGCGCGACCAAGTGTGCAGGTGCAGTCAGTCCACACAGACACGTCCCAATGTTAGCACACCGTCTAGAGGCCCTAAAAAACGTAAGGCTGTCTCTCCGACTTCAAAAGTTGCTTTAAATTGTGAACCATTTTTTGTTTGGTTTAAAAATAATATAACATGTATTTGTGTTCATTGTTTACTAAAAAAACGCGATACCCAGAAACGATACTCACGCACAATTTTTGTTTTGTTTTAAAAATAAAATAACAGGTATTTTTGTGATCTTTATACGAAAAAAAGCGCGATACTTACAAACGATACTCACGCACGATTCTTCGTAACTCTAGGAACGATTCTTGAAAACTGTACTGCCTAAATCTAGGCTACGATGAATTTAGCACTTAAACACGATACATACATACGAAATATACACACTCTACTTGAATACTAATACTGTACTTAAACAAAAGGATATATATAGGGTTTCTGCGGTTCTTTCAGAATTTCTTTTCGTAGGTGGTGGGGGGGGGGGGGCGCTTATAGCTTCCCGGATGGCGGCTTAAAATTTACTTGAGAGGAGGGGGAGACGCCGACTTTATTTTCTAATAATTTTTTATATTTTCTTCTAATTCGTCCAGGAAAGGGGGGGGGGGGCAGTTTTAGCCTCCTCCCGTGGAGAGATGTTAGAAAGAAACACTGCCTATATAACCGCCCTGTTGTCTCACATCAGACGACTTCTACTTCTCTCTGATGTGTTTTCTCGTGCAGGAGTGAGTACACTACAGTCCAGCGAGCTGACTTCAACATGGCCGTTCTCTGTTCTCACCTGCCTTCACATCAACGCTCTCCTCACACCTCTGTTTTATTGTATCGGGACCTGGGGATTTAAGGGAGATGATTCTCATTACTCTTTGTAACAGCACACGATTTGCCCCCCTTGGTTGTGCTACCACAAACAGTAAATTTAAGCTTTGTTTAGTCTGTGAGCCGAAAAAAAATTATTACACCAGGATGTGGTGGTTTTTTTTATTGGAGGAATGAGGAAGGGAGGAGTTGACGTGTAGGAAGAGGGAGGAGATGAGAGGAATACCAGTATTATCTAATTGTCCTTCATGTGAGGTCTCTCCCTCCCTCCCCCCATCCTCAATTTTTATCTCACACGAAAGAAAATATCAGATTTTCAAAAAAATGAAATCGATATTTTTTGTCTGAGAACTTTTAAAAAATAGTTACTAAAGATTCTTGAATTTCAGAGATTTGAAATATTTACCTACCATTGTTCGGTATTTTCATAAGTCGTTAGTTTCTCCTACACGATCGGTATACTCATACTTCGATTGTTTTATTGCTAGGATATTTAGCTTGTTCCAGCAAAACAAAAAGCTTTGGAATCCGATATGTTGTAAGTAATATACATGGGATTACCGGAGTTATCTCATGGGTTGTCTGCAACCAGTCTCTGCTGGTTGTTACAATTTATCTGCTTCTCTGGTCAGATGTTGATATAATAACACACCACAGTTCTCAGTGTTGCCGTCTGGTGATAGAGGGTCGTCCTTGACCTTACCTCGGCCTCAGACAGCAACTTCAACTTCTAGACAGACAAGACACCAACTTATTGGAAACAAGACACCATAAAATTCACGGAAATAAGACGCCATAAACGTCCACACCACAATCTTCCCTACCATTAAGACTCCACCAACTTGAAGAAAGAACCCCCCCCCCCCATCCCTACACCTCACCTCTCAACATGCAGCCTGTCTCCCATCTTGTTGAGTTGTGAAGTGAGCTGTTCCTGACCAGTTGAGTGCTCACGTCATTTTGATTGGCCTACGTGTACAGTTTACCAAATTATTTGGTTCGATACACTCATCCTCGACACTGTGACCTTTGGCAGTGTGACCTCTGACTGTGACCCCTGACTGTGACCTCTGACACTGTGAAACATACTAAAGCCTTCTGTAAGTTTGTTACCACGTACATAAAATCCCGACAGCGGCCAGGCTTATTGGCATGCTGTGTCAAGTTGGTGACATACAACAAATGAAGCTAATTAACACGGAACTAATTTCAACTCAAGAGCACTCTCACAAGCTGGTGGATGTTCAACTTCCTGTTAGCCGTTAGCCGATTACAGTCTGTTGGCTTTGTTTACTAACTTTACTTTCAAATATACTGCACATATATTACCAGAGAATATTATCTCGGTATACATTAGTGACATAGCAGATAGTAAGGGATTTTGGGGTTTTATTTGGTGTGAGATGTGCATGGGCATGATGTTACCTGGGCATGATGTTAATTAGGCATTATGCATGTCATTTGGTGTCCTTGTCATAAAGTATACTTTAGCCGCAAGAAACACCTGACAGACGGCTTTTATTTAAAAAATCAAACCACCCTTCTGTCCAGATTTGACTTCAATATTTGTCCCGACGGCTGTTGTTCAGGTATTTGATACCACGCCCCTGTAAAATGTGTGTGTGTGTGTGGATTCTCGGGGTAGAAACAAAGGTAGCCGCACCATT